CATATACTTTGACGTTAAATAGTTTTCTTGTACACAAGTAGAATTTAGATCTAACTCTGAAGGGCAATATGTAGCGATTTTTGGGATCTCTACAGGAATCATACACATCAACTGAAAAAAAGCTATGGGATTTATAATTCTATGGGATTTTGTGTTGATAAATAATTATGCTCTCAAGTTTATATCTTTTTTTTATTAGTAATGTTTGTGTTATTAAAACTACCAAAGGGAGAATTATACAGTAGACTTCATCTCTTCTTTTACTGTATATATTTCTTAATGTTCACTCTATCAATTAGACTAATTTTCATGGTCCCTTATACAACCCCAATTCCAAAAAACTTGTGTAGAATCTACTTAAAAACAGAATGCAATAATTTGCAAATCTCATAAACCCATATTTTATTCACAATAGAAAATAGAAAACATATTAAATGTTTAAACTGAGAAAATGTACAGTTTTAAGAAAATAATACGGTAATCTTGAAGTTGATCGCAGCAACACGTCTCACAAAAGTCGGGACAGGGTCATGTTTACCATGGTTTAAATCACCTCTTCTTTTAACAACACTCTGTAAATGTCTGGGAACTGAGGAGACCAGTTGCTGGAGTTTTGGGAGAGGAATGTTGTCTCATTCTTGTCTAATACAGGATTCTAATTGCTCAACAGTCCTGGGTCTTCTTTGTCGTATTTTGCCTTTCAAAATGTGCCAAATATTTTCAATTGGTGAAAGGTCTGGACTGCAGGCAGGCCAGTTAAGCACCTGGACTCTTCTACTATGAAGCCATGCTGTTGTCATAGATGCAGTATGCAGTTTAGCATTGTCCTGCTGAAATCTGCAAGGCCTTCCCTGAAGAAGACATCGTCTGGATGGGAGCAAATGCTGCTCTAAAACCTTTCAGCATTGATGGTGGCTTTCTACATGCAAGCTGCCCATTCCATAGACACTAATGTGCCCCCCATACCATCAGAGAAGCAGGGGTTTGGACTGAGTGCTGATAAGAAGCTGGAAGGTCCCTCTCTTCTTTAGTCTGGAGGATGTGGTGCCCATGGTTGCCAGAAAGATCATCAAATTTTTCATTCGTCTGACCACAGAACAGTTTTCCACTTTGCAACAGGCCATTTTAAATGAGCTTTGGCCCAGAGAAGATGACGGCATTTCTGGATCATGTTCATATATGGCTTCTTCTTTGCATGATAGAGCTTTAAGTGGTATTTTGGGATAGCACAGCGCACTGTGTTCACTGATAGTTATTTTTAGAAGTATTCCTGAGCCCATGCAGTGATGTAAATCACAGAATCATGCCTGTTTTTAACACAGTGCCATCTGAGGGCCTGAAGATCACATCCAATATTGTGTTTCAACCTTGTCCCTTGTGCACAGAGATTTATCCACAGTCTCTGAATCTTTTGATCATATTATGTACAGTAGATGAGATATTTAAGTCTTTGCAATTTTACATTGAGGGACATTATTCTTTTTTGACACATATTGCTGCCATCAATTTCAAGATTGCCTTCTTTTTTTCTTAAAATGGTACCTTTTCCAAGTTTAAACATTTGATATGTTTCAAAATATGGGATTTGCAAATCATTACATTCTGTTGTTAGGTATATTTTACACAGCATCCCAACTTTTTGGGAATTGGAGTTGTAGTTTCCCCCCATATACCCACTGGAAAAAAATGTAAACATATAATTGCCTATTATACTCTCTATGCCATATTAATGCAATGTTGTTTGAGGTTTCATATCTGCTCAGTGGTCTAACAGTTCCTGTTATATAACTTACTTTCACAACTATCCATGATTGTATGCTTATATTAGCCATACAGTAAGGTTACACTCTAAAATTTTTTTTTTTTTTACAGGTTTTGAATTAATGTAATTTACTCTTAGAAACTCTTTGCCTTATTTCTAAAGGTCTTTCTGACTTAGCCTGACTTAGAGAATTGGTGATATCTGAAAATTACATATTATATTATTAAATTTAAAACTGAACCTCACACTGACTTTAGATACAAATATTTACAGGGCTCTTTAAGACCACGACCAGTTACATATTTTCATACATGATATGGCACTGAAGACAGCCCACTTTCAAGGGTACTTTAATGCACAGCAGCATTTTCGCTGACAGGTAGCATACCGTATGTAGCATATGTAGCATATCGGAATACCATTACAATAGTGTTACAAAATATTTTAGCTATGATATTGTTCATCTTAATGCAAAAAGTTGTATATTTACCAGGCAACCTGTGCCATCAGAATTGTGCTCAGACTGGAGATATGTTTCACTGTTGGTAATTTTGCTTCATAGATTTATATGGTGGATTTTCCATTAAATTTACTTTGTCATATTCATCACAATTTACAATATAACTTCTTATCCACTTCTGTTTGAGAAAACATGGGTACCCTGCACACTAATGTCCAACGTCTGCTAATTATCTAATTAATGAGTATGTCTGGACACATCTCCCAGCTCCCAAACACGCAATAACATGGAGCTATATTCATGCCATGTATGGTATTTGACTAATTAAATTTAATGTCTCATATACATATATTACTAATTCCATTAATCTGTGTGTATCAAGAAAATAAAATGAGGATTTTGTATACCTTTGTCAACAAGGTAACCATAGTTTCCATTGATGTAATGTTACTATATTTATTATCAACAATAAAAATAAAGTTAAAAAAGTACAACTGTTTCACCAGCACTTACTTTTATGTATGTTCTACCACATGGACTGAATGCTTGGCACTTTAAACGGTGAAATGACAGTTGGTGAATGGGAAGGTCTAGGACAGGAGAAAGCTCTAGGATCAGGCTCTGTAGTGCTGCAAGGTTTCTCTCATACATCTGCTACTCATTGCATGTGCTAACTTATTTGATCTCAAAGGATATTTTACAAGGAAGCTATAAATGGTACTTCCCACATGCTGTATATGGCTCATTAAAAATGTCCTTAAAGCAACACAAAAGCCAAATCTTTTATATGCTAGGCTTTCCTTACAGTGCTAAACCAATACACCGCGCTATCTCCCCTTATTGTGAAACAATTTAATATAACCCATAAATCTCCAAATAGACAATAAAACAAGCCAAAACACACCTATGTGTGTATACCACTGTATATCAAGCGTACACATAAAATACAATAACTATTGTGCAAAAAATATTTAACTATGTGAAATAATGTGTGACTCATTATTATTCAAATATATGCAAATCAATCAGCATAAATCATCAATCAATGTGAATAATGTGTACATAAATTAATATTGAGGATTATCAATAATAAATATTAAATAACTAAAGTACATATAAAGTATATATAAAGTACAAAACTTCATCCTATACTCACAGGACAAAGATAACTCGTGATCAGTTCAAATAGTGATGAAAAAATGATTTATATGTGTAATCATATAATCCCACTACGAAGAAAAAACAATGCTCCCCACTCACCAGAATCAAATAGTCAAATCGCAGTGATCACAGGATGCTAATTTCCCAAACAAAGTAATGGCTTCCAACAGACCTTATTTCTCTTTTCTCCACATGTGCATTCAATGCCTCATACTGATTGAAAGAAACAGTGTATCCTCTCCCACCGCAAACTCTTTCTTTCCCCACTCGATACCTTGAATGAATCAATAAACGGTCTCTTCCTCAATTCTCATACAAATGTATCATAGCCGGGATTTTAGCTCACTGATATAGAAACAAATATAACGCACATAGCATAAAATCTTTAAAAATGTATTTTGCGCAAAAAACAATAAAAACGTACATCAATGAAAAGTGGATAGAACATGTAACCCACAACGGGCTATATCTCACAATGTTCAGCAGGCGATAATGGTCCTAACGCAGCTCCACAATGCAACAGGATAGCATCAACGTACATGCTCGTCCCCAATGCGTTTTATCCTCATGGACTTTCTAAAGGGTGGTGTTCACATCACAGCTATCCATCCTATATACCCTTATCAATAAAATATTCAAATATACCCCCACATGCAAATTAGTATCCCCAAAGCAATATATACATATATTGTAGAAACAAACTGTAAAAACATATTATAAAATTATAAAAACAATATAATAAGACCTAGCAAGAACAGAAGTAAAATTTTATATCCAACCCATCTTATTTCACTTCATAGCATAAATAATTAGCTGTTGCTAATGAAACAATTAAGGTCTAGCTCCACATTCAGCCCCTTCGGTTTAAGCATGTCCAGCAGGAAAATCCACTTAGTTTCGTTCAGATATAATTCTAGTTTTATTGGTGCCCCTCCAATGTGTTATCATTCTAGTTTTATTGGTGCCCCTCCAATGTGTTATCATTCTAGTTTTATTGGTGCCCCTCCAATATGATATCATTCTAGTTTTATTGGTGCCCCTCCAATGTACAAGTACCTTAGGTAATTGTGCTGTCCTTTCTTTTAAAAATATAAAACATACCTTGATTTAATGTTTAAAATATGGCAGGTGTGCTCCAGCACCTCCTTTGGTTTTAAGCTGATTCTGGCTTCATTTTTGCCCCCGTTCATGAGAGCAGTGGGAGAGCGTGCCGCTTTTCCAGACTACATCTTCCACACTGCACACCGGTCAGTGTTATCACTGCGCATGTGCAAATTAACATATCGTAACAGAACACCAGCATGTCTCAGCATGTGAGCCGCGATGAGGCTCAGAGAAAGTCAGAGCCTCGTGACAGCTCACATAGTATGCAAACGAAAAAAAAGAGAGAAAGCACAAGCAGATAAAGAAGCAGCTCACTTGCACTCCTTTCATGGTAAAGGAGAGGATTCATTCCTTAATGCTCTTCAGTCGACAGGTGCGCTTCCCAGAGAGCAGGCAAAAGGCAGAAGGTAGGGATGGGTGGGATTTAAAGAGGAGAGAAGAGGTGTCAGCAGAAGAGATGTGAGGGGGCTTGAAATGTCCTCACGGAAGTTATAAAGAAAGTGTTTTTTGTAGCTTTTAAAGGCAAATGCTGAAAACCAGAGTAAGCTCATTATTACATTTCTATATTATAGATCTTATTTTTAAAATGTAATTTTTGGGTTTAGCGTTGCTTTAATATGAAGGAAAATTGCCCCTGTTCTGTTACGTATAAGTGTCTGGGCAGCTGCTAGTGTAATATATACACTCTAATTTGGCCACCCATAGCCCAGTAGTTTGTAAGTCATTTAACTATATAACGAGCCATATTGATATTGGGGAAGGGGCCAAGTATTTTTAATATTGTTTAGCTACAATGCAGATTGAACCTCACCGCTTTTAGTAAATACAAAGTAACAATAATAATTACTTTAAATCACCAAATTAACAAATTACCCCATTAAACAGGTTTAAACAAGATTGTTCACTTCTACTGCCTTCTCCAAACTCTGTACCCTTTTGAGAATAACCCCCTTAATATCCAGTAGTGTTTTCTCTTTTCTTTTTCCATCAATGTTTCTTCCCTCTTGTATCATTGCTGGAAGAGTTAGTCTTTTCTATCATAAAATTATGTAAATACACTATATTAAAAAGCTTCTCTTCACATCCTGAGTGACTTCAGTTTCTTACCTATTGTGGGATTATTTAAACACTAGGTTTGGTAGGCTAGTCCCATGTTTGTGTATTCACTTTCTCAATTTACATTCAGTTTCATTACTGGATACCAAGCAGTATTACACCTTGTCCTTCTGTTTCCTGGTTTTATACGATTCTACAGATTCCACTATAAATTCTACTATTTTCAGGTGGTCCACTTTGAATGCTGTCCACCGTAATGCACTAGGGGTCTGGAATATGCACGGACAGTTATATTCTAGTTATATATAAGTCTTGCAGATATGGATTCAAATTCCAAGACTTTGTATGTGCCCTGTCTGCATGAATTTGTTCTAGATGCTGTGGTTCCCTTTCACAATCCCAAATTATAATGGCTGGTTAACAAAATTGCCCAGAGGGACAGATTGTGAGCCCCTGTAGGAGACAGGAAATAATACAAATGGCTCTATGTACTCTGTATAGTAGACATGTGCGATTCGTTTCGTTCCGAATCGAAATTCGGACATTCGGATGTATCCGAATTCCGAATTACAGACATAACGAATGCATACGAATCCGAATTTCCATTTCCGAAATTCGGTAGCGTTCGCACGAACATTCGTTTCGTTTTCTGTTCTTATTCGTTTCTTATTCGTTTCTTATTCGTTTCGTTTGTTGGAGCAAAGTGACATTAGAGAAGGAGAAAAATATTTTTTCCCCCTCAAATGTCACTTTTGCTGCAAACGAATAAGAAACGAATAAGAAACGAATAAGAACAGAAAACAAAACGAACGTTCGTACTAACGCTACCGAATTTCGTCCGAATCCAAATTCCGAATCCGAATTGACTTTCACACCCGAATCCCGAAAAACGAAATAACACAAATCCGAATTTAAAACGAAACGAAACGAATTTTTTGGCTGTGCACATGTCTACTGTATAGTAATATATTGGTTCTATGTAAATGCGGGGAATTAGTAAATCAATAAAAAACTGAAGAAAGCTTTATTTTTACATCACCTTGAGTGGTTTTCACCCCCTTTAAATGTAATGTATTGTTTATATTACTTAACAATCTTCAGAGACCCATTTAAGATCATCCATACATAGATATCAGCACATCTGCACATTCATTTGTATGGACTACATGGTTTAGAATAATAAATATGTGTATGCAATTAAAAAGTTATACATGTTAGGCATGGAATGGTCCTTTCAGTTAGCAGGATAAATTGATTCTGTTTTCACTGAAAGCCATGTTTTGCCTCAGTCCTCATTGGTAAATTGTTTGATAAATGATGTAAACTTTACCAGACATGTCAAAACAAGATTAAATATTAGCAGGTCTAAGGCAACATGGAAGCCTGTCAGATTGTTTCCATTCAAGCTGAGGCTGCTTAAGAGCTCTTATGCTTGGCACATAATGCATATTATGTCCCCAAAGGATTTGATCTTAACATGCAACTTAAGTGGAATGTCAAGGGAGAGAGGGGCAGAAATAGTTTTTTCCTGTTACTTTATCATGCCTGAATTGACATGAACAATGACAAACATGCTGCACACAGACATCTCATTTTGTGTCTGAGTGCAGCTATCAACCTGCAGTCTGTATACATATTCACACAGACAGAGTTTGCAGTTATACTTTATTGTAATTTATTTAAATTTTAATATATACTATATATATATATATATATACATACTGTACATAAACACACACAATATATACAACAATATTAAAGAAGGGAAATACGTTTACATATTACTTAAAATAAGCCAGACTCAAACCTGAATTTTAAGTGTGCGTTTAATTAAAAAAAATACATAAGCAGATGTCATCTTATTCAGTTAGATCTACTTGTTATACCACCTAAACCAGAGATAAAGGCAACTGAATTTATATTAAAATCTTGACTTTTAAAAAAATTTAAGCTTGGCTCAGCCCTTGCCTAACTTCCAAGTTTCTTGTTATTTGTCTTTGTGATGGACGGTCTCAATGATTAGTAGGATAGCCTGTGAGGTATGTGAGGACAAGCCAAGTTTGGCTTTTACAAGAAAATGAACTGTAACTGCTTACATCTCTGGATCAACTGATCATTCTGACAAGCTTTGACTAAGGGTAACAGCTTTTATGCAATTTTCAATATACGTTCAATTTTAATGGATTTTTGTTCAATGGTCATATGGTATACGATTGTACTTTTACAAGCAGTATGCTATATAATTTGAAATGAGCTTAAAAGGCAAGAACACAAGATATCATTTAGAAAAAAAACATGTGGATTACATTTCAGGCATGTTTGTGCTTTCCTTAATTTTTAGCCCTAAATCTAATATCGTATACACCACAATATTTGCTGGGTTAATGTGTATGTCCACAAATGTATATGTCAAATCCAACAATGGTGGTCCCCATTACCAGCCTAACTAACTAACAGTTGACCGTCGAAATTTCACAGATGGACTTACTGCACAAGTGGCAACCTATCACAGTACAACGCTTGAATTTACTGAGCTCCTGAGAGCGACCCATTCTTTCACAAATGTTTGTTGAAACAGTCTGCATGCCGGGGTGCTTGATTTTATACACCTGTGGTGATGGAGGTGATTGGAACACCTGAATCCAATGATTTGGAGGGGTGCCCCAATACTTTTGGCATGTGTGTATATATATGTATTTTTATATATATAAATTTTATCTGTGTTTGAAGTTTGTCTGGAGCTTAGCTTTAATAATCAGATCCCCCTATGTGTGGCTGCCATAACTCTGTCTAGTACATAACCGCTACCACAATAGCTTAATTCCTAAAACAAAAACTGTTTGTGCTGTAAGCCAGCAAGAAATAATGCTCTGGAAACCTTTTTATTTCAACACATATTTGCTTTTTATCTTTTCAAGCACCAAAGAATATGCAATTGAAAAGGAAGAAGGTTTCCACTCATACAGTACGCTTTAGAATGTGTTATAGAATTAGTGAAGGTCACAAGCTAATTTGATGTATTGTATACACTCAAATCCTAAATATCACAAACAAATCCCTGTTCTAATGACAAGGTTTCCTAGCATTGTTTACACATGTATTGTCATTGGTAATCTAAATGAAAACAATATGAAAAATGTTCTCTTTAAGCATACATTACCACTGTTGATTTATGAGAATTATATAACTAAGCATAAATTACAGTTTTTGATTTATGGGAAAACACCAAAGTCTGCACAGCATATAATAAGCCAGGTCCATAATAATAGGGGCACATCTCAAATAAAACATTTCAGAGAATCAAAATTTAGGATGAGAACATTGTTCCTGCTACAATGTGAATGCATTATTCAATATAATTTAATATAGAGTTCACACTTTAAATGATAAATGAGGTAACAATCTGATTTTTTTTCATGGTAAGCCTGTGCTGTTGTTAAAAAGATGTTTCAGGTTTGAAAAGAACCTTGCAGATTGAGGGATACTGTTAAGCTAATTACACATAATCATTGTCACACTAAAATATATAACATGCATTGGAGTATAGTTGTTAGGTCATATGGAGGGCACTACACTACATTTTTTAAAACCTAAACCTACGACCTATAAAGTTTATGTCTACAATTTGGCTATAACTAATAATACCAGTTTTTTTTTTGTGAGGATCCTAAAAACACCACTTAAGGTAAAAATCCAACAAGTCAGCCTAAGTAAATGTCATAGTAATCAGCAATAACAAAATGAGATGACAGTGACTAACACATGGCTTAAAAATAAATGTTTAAAATATTTTCTCTTTTTAATAGTAAATAATTAAATAAGAAATATTGCATATTAATATTTTGTATTTTTCTTTTGAGCCAGCAGTGTAGCTTTAGACTCCTTTTCACATCTTTATTTCTAAACATTTGCCCCTCTGCTGAAAAAGCCTGTTTACAGAACACTACAGCTCAAGGCTAAATTTAAACAGAATTTAAACAGAGGCGAATTACTCTAAATTACTCATTACAGTGACTGGTCATACTGGTCACTTCAAGATATCAAAGAGAGCCAAATTCGCCGAAAGAAAAATATTGTTATGCCGTTTTAGCTAACCCATAGTACTATGGGAAACCTTTGTCAAACATTAATTGTTTATTTGTAAAATGATAATACTAGTAACAAAACTGATACAAAGCAGTGAGAGACTGCCCTGTTTAAGAACAGTTTGGTGGAAGACAGCAGCTTTTGGGATAAAAAAGGTGTACAGGCTTAATAGATTGGAAGTATTTAAACAGAAACATGCTATTGGTTTAGAAAAAAAGCGTCCAAGGATGTGTGGTTTTTAGGCAATGTTCTGTCTATGGTTTTTCTGCTCTCTCAGCAGAAGAAATCATTTAAACAGTAGGTAAATACATTCTTAATAAGGCCTCATTCACATATGTCATGTTGCCCCATACAGCATGAAGAAGGCGTACAGACCTGGACCCATCATCTCTGTATTTGAGGCCATGTCTGTTTGCAGCTGTCAAAACGTGAAGCTGCGGGAAACAGTATGTGAGGGCTTACAGCTCCTGCA